TAAATTTCCATATATTTCCCATTGAATCAAATTTTTCTGTCTGAGGGCAAAGCTACAGAAAACCTTGAGACAGAAAAGCTACTGAAATTTAAATAAGTTGATTTAACTTCTTAGGATCCCAATTTTTTTTCAAATAGTTCTCAACTCTCATAGTCTGTTATCTACTTTTTTTTGCATTAATGACCTAGTCTCATTGATTTAATGTATACTTTATCTAAAGGAAAAAAGGCAGACTGTTGGTTTGAAGGATTTTCTTGCAATTTCTGTGTACACTTTTCACTCAAATTTCTGTGTGCATACAAACTTATGCATTAGGAATTGTTGTTATGTCTTAGTTTGATAACCCCCATATACAATATGTGTGTGTGTGTCTATGTGTGTGTGTGTGTGTTTAGCAGCTTTGACAAGTAAAAAATCAGCAACAGCCAGCACCAGGCAGGCACAACACCACCAGACAACAACTAACAGCCAGCAGATAGCCAACGGGCTTTGCAAAACCAGGCCAGCAACCAAACAGCAGCTGAAAGAGCAGGCAACGGAACCAGCAGCCTGAACCAGCACACACCAGCCAGAGCCTAAGCAGCCAGAAACAGAAAGCAGTAGCCAACAACAGCTAAACACACCTTGCAAACAGAAACCAGCAACCAGACACAAAGCAAGCAACACATCCAATAGAAAACAGCAGTTTACAAAAGGAAAGTTGACCTGGCTGTTAAATCAAGGGCTCTGCTTCTCCAGATCTTGATTCTGTATTTTTCTTTTCTTCGGTTTTTTAAAGTGTAATATTACAAGTTATTGAAGAAAATATATGTGTTTTTTGTATATTATGATTATATATAAGTATTTGATACAATTTAAGTGAATAAAATGCAATTTTTTTTTTCTTTTTTATTTTTTTTTGGGCATTTTTTGCACTGATTTTAGGAAAGAACCGGTGCTAAAAGTTTTTTTTTTTAATTTTTTTTGGGGACTTTTGGCACCGGTTCTAAGTCAAAATCGGTGCCTATTGTACTGAAATAAAATAAAAAAAAGTGCCATGGGTAATTAGCACCGGTTAACCGGTGCCAAATCTTTAAATAGCCACCGGTTTTGAACCGGTGCCAAATCTTCAGAGATTTGGCATCCCTCAAATACCCAACGGTTCAAAATCGGTGCCCATTAGGTGGTTTGAACCAGTGCCTATGTTTTTCGCCTAGTGTTTACTATCTCTCTATTGTTGGCACTGATTTGTAGATCTTTCGGTCTACTCATTGATGAAAATCGATTTTCATCAAAAATTGCATCTCTTGACTCAATAACCGAATGAATCGATATATAGTCATTTTGTTCTATTACATAGAACCTATAGGTTTTGCTATGCTCAACATAACCTATAAATATGCAATCCAAGTCCCTTTCACCGAGCTTTCTTTTCTTGTTGCCAGACACTCTAACGATTGCCCACAACCCCAAACCTTGAGATACTTCAAGTTTGGCTTTCTTTTGTACCATAGTTTATAAGGAGTAGATTGTTTTCCCTTAGTGGGAACCCGATTAAGAATGTGACAAGCTATCAACATTGCTTCACCCCAAAACCCTTCACTCAAACCAGAGTAAAATAACATGGAATTAACCATTTCTTCAAGAGTTCTGTTTTTCCTTTCAGCCACACCATTTGATTGTGGTGCATAACCTGCTGAAGTCTCATGAATTATACCCAAAGATTGGAAATAAGCTGGATTATAATATTCCCCTCCCTTATCAGTTCTTATTCTCTTAATTAATGATTCTACTTGCAGTTCTACTTCCCTTTTATAACTATCAAACTTTATTAAAGCTTTATCTTTGGAGTGTAACAGATACACATAACAAAACCTAGAATAATCATCTATAAATGTAACCATGTATCCTTTATTCCCTAAAGAAGGAGTACTATGAAAATCACACAATTCACTATAGATCAGTTCTAAAATATTAGAACTTCTCTCAACTCTCTTCAAAGGAGTTCTAGTGATCTTGTTCAACATGCAAGTAGAACATTTATTAGGAGAAATATCACAAGAAGGTATCAATTCTTGCTTTGACATGAAAAACATTTTATTATAATTCACATGTGCTAATCTAGAATGCACTAAGTCAAAAATATTCAAATCAACATGATTATCATTGACATCAACATTCAAACATAAATTATCCAACACACCACTCTATTTCAAAGAGAGTTTAAACAAACCACTATCCAAATAACAACGACCTATAAATGTTACACCCCTAGTAATTATGCATCTATTAGCTTCAAATACAAGTTTATATCCAAGACTATTCAGGGTAGGCCCGGATACAATATTCCTACTAATTTCCGGAGCATACAAAACATTCCTAAGAATAATTGCAGTCCCTGAACTAAACACAAGCTCAACTTGTCCTCTTCCAAGGACCTTGATGGTAGAGTTGTTCCCCATGTAGAGGTCTTCTCCATCAACAACCCTTTGAAAAGTTTTGAACCAATGTCTACTCTTGCACACGTGCCTTGATGCCCCGAATCAATCCACCATGAGTCATCATCCTGCACCATAAAAATGTTAGGATCGGTTGCATTGAAATCCAAACCAGAATTAAATTCAACCTCATGAGATGGATTACCTTTGGTGGGTGGTCCTTGCTTTCGGTAGCACGACCCTCCTTGGCTTTCTCCATTCTTTTCTTATAAGAAAAACAATCCTTCTTGCGGTGACCAATTTTACCGCATTCCCAACAAGTAAACTTGTTACTTGTCATTTTCTTTTTGGACTTTTTCTTGAAAGAATTATCATTCTTTCTCTTTCCACTAGTAGATGCACTAGCTCTTCCTTCATCTACCATATTAGCAGTAGATGTGCTAGGAATTTCATCCTTAGCACCTTCCATGGCACGAATCCCTTCTTCAATTTGAAGACGGGTGGCCAAACCGGACAATGTCATGTCCTCCTTCTTATGTTTAAAATCATGCTTAACATTCTTCCAACTAGGGGGTAACTTATATATAATACTAGAAACAACAAATAACTCATTCATGGCTATTCCATGTTGTTCCAAGCTACCATAAATACGTTGCAATTCATGAAATTGGTCCATTATGGACCGACCATCAACAAATTTAAAGTTATTGAAATTGCTAACTAAAAATTTCTTAATTACTTGAAGCGTCTTCCGCCATGTATTTACTCTCCAAGGACTCCCAAAGCTCCTTAGCCGATTCTACATTTTGGTAAACGTAAAAAAGATCATCCTCCATCCCATTCAAGATGTGACCACGACATATGAAATCGTCGTTGTCCCACCTCGACCTCTCCCGAACGAATTCCAAGGTTTCATTCTCATGTTCATCCGACCTTGGAGTATTTATCACATAGGCAACATTCAGAGATGTAAGAAGAAAATACATCTTCTTCTTCCATCTCCGAAATTCAACACCATCAAACTTTTTAAGTTTGACAAAGTTAGTAGTCAATTCCTTCACACTAGACATACTTGATTAAATTCTAAATAAACCTATTTAGATTGTTAGGCTTACAGTGATTTTCAATAAGAAAACACTTAAAATATGTGTGGGTACAAAACCTAAATTATATGATTACAGTATAAATTGTAAAATCAAATACAATACAATGTATTACAATCAAGTATAGGAAATGTCAAAGAAATTACTGAAAATTTACAAAGACTACACTAGTGTGATAAATCAAACTTGTCTTTCCTCCAATCCGACAACAACAAGCATGAACATGAGAATAATAGTGTCCCGTAAGACTCAAACCTTGATACACTGTCAAAGGCGTGTATATACTTTCCTAAAGAGGTTTATTTCCCCCACACGGTGCTTGGGTTAAACCGGAAATCCTCTTTGAGATACAATTGACAGCAAATTTCGTTCTTAGCACTAAAATCGAAATACAATGAATAATTCACAAGGATGACTAAATTTCAAGAGTTTTTTCTCACAAACGTTAGCAAGAAGTTTGAGAGAAAATGTGGAGAATCCTTTTTGGGAGAGCCAATCTTAAAAGTTCTGTCTATTTTTTGATCTCACCAAAAAATCCCTTTAATAAGAGAAATAACCGTCAGCAAAAATCGCAGAACTGGGAAGCAGCGCGGGCGCGACACCAAGCGGCGCAGGCGCGCCTCCCAAAAAACCTGCGAGACATAACTTGAAGTCAGTGAGGGGCGCGGTTTTGACGCGGCCTGCAGCGTGGGCGCGCCACCCACATTCATCCAAAATGCTGATTTCCAGAGAGGTACACGGTTTAGGCGCGCTACCTTGAACGGGCGCGCTTAATATGGGCGCGAGCGCGCACCATACAACACTCTAAATCATCAACTGTAGTTAGTAAAGTGATGAATTAATTAAGAGCTAATGATGACAAATTAAGGGATAATTAAAAAAAAAGTAATTGGAGTACATACGTATAGTTTATGAAGTAACTTTATGTGGAGCAAATAAAAGTGCAGCAGTAGCTTAGACAAGGTATGCTGGAGATGCAGGGGATTTGACATTTTACGTGTTGTTTCTTTCCGCCATTCTTCCTCTTTTTACTACTTTCTTCCTACAATTTACACTAATCAACACACCATTTTCGAGGTCATCCAATTCTATTTTTATTAATAAATAAAAAAAATAATAGAGTAATGTTATACGAGTACTCGTAGCCAAAAGAGCGTTGAATTGTGGAGCCGTGATTCGTCCTCTCCGTTTGTCACTTTGATGTACACTCCACATTCACTCATTTAGATATATACCTTCATTTTTGTATGTCTCTTTTTGTGTTTTTGAGGTATGATGTACGGAGTAACTAGCCGTTGCGTAATGAGGACATTATGGCAGTATGAATACCCAGTGGCGGACCCAGGAATTTCCGACTGGTGAGTCACAATCGATAATCAAGTATCTAAAAAAAAAAATTTACCGAACAACCAAATAATAGTACTAAAAAATACATCCAAATATTCAAAACAGTACAAAATACAACCAAATGTATGTGGAAGATTAGCAAATTCATGTTCACAATCGATAATCAAGTATCCTCTTTCCTGGATCTTGTGGAAGATTAGCAAATTCATGTTCACTTAATCTTTCACCAAAGATTGGGGCATTAGGAGAACATTGGCCTTGTTCATTTTGAGGGGAATTTTGAGTGGAATAATTAGATGGAGATGAATGTTGTTCACTTTCTTGAGGTGGACATATAGTTTGTTCACTCTGTTGAGGTGGAGATATAGTTTGTTCATTTTGTGTGGGATGTGGAAGAGAAGTTGAAGTAGGATTCTTTTTAGCAAAGAAGCTAGTAATGTTTTGCAGTTCATTTGGAGTGCGTTTTCTCTTCATTCTGAAATTTGAATAAATAATCAACTAAAGCAAGCAAAATTCCCCAGAAAAATTATTTACAAAGATCATTTTACCAAACAAACCACAATTCACATAATCACATATTCACATGGTCAAAAAGGTTCAAACTTCATCTAAAACCCAACAACATTATTACATTAAGGTCATTACTCATTAACAAAAGGTTCAAAGTTTACCAAACAAACAAGTGATTGAAGACTTGAAGTGAACAACTAACAAATCAACCAAAGTTTAATAGAATTAACTAATTAGACTTGATTAAATTGAAGATTAGAATTTTAAACTAAAAATTAGAAATCAACTTACTAGCAAAATGAGAATAGGAGATTAGACTTTAGAAGAAGCGACGAAGCGAAGAGCGGTGAGCGCAGAGCACGCTCTCGACTCTCGAGCAGTGGAGCAGGGCAGCAGGCGACTGCCGACTAGGCGAGCAGCAGGCCAGCAGGCAGTATCACAGCTTGAACAATTAACAAATTCACCATTTCACAGCTTGAAATCACAAGCTCACAGGGCAGCAGGCCAGCATCACAGCATCACAGCTTGAACAAGTATGTAAAGTGTCAATTGTCAAACATTTCACAAATTCACCATTCAGAATTTCATTGAACAATTCACAAAATCACAACAATTAGGGATTATTGAAATTGAGTTGATTATTGAACAATTGAGTTGATTATTGAACAATTAGGGATTTAGGGTTCAAAGAATCAAATTTAGTATTACTAATTCATAACTAACAAGTAATATCAATTATCAACAATTAAACAAATTTAGATGAAGACTAAGTTAATTAATTAATTTATGCGAAGAGGAACTGAGGAAGACGAAGAGGAACTAAAGTGTCAAACATTTCACAAATTCACCATTCAGAATTTCATTGAACAATTCACAAAATCACAACAATATATAACAAAATTAACAATTAACAATAATCAGTACTCAGTAGGCGTCTAGGCAGCGTCTAGGGCCACTGGGCGTCTAGCGATTAGCGAAGCAATCAAGCAATTATCAAGACAATCAAGTTATCAAGTTATCAACAATTAAACAAATTTAGATGAAGACTAACTGAGGAAGACGAAGAGGAAGACTAACCTCACGTCCTCACCTGAATTTATGCGAAGAGGAAGACGAAGGGTCGAAGGCACGAACTGCGAGTCTGCGAAGAGGAACTGACTAACTGAGGAGTGAGGAAGATGCTTACTTGCGAAGTTGCGAGTTGCGAACTGCGAAGAGGAGGACTGGAGGAGGCGATTATGGAGGTGAATAGGTGATTGATGATGGCGAAGGATTGAAGCCTTGAAGGGAATTAGGGAAGAGGCGAATTGGCTAGGGCATGAAGGATTGAAGGCCATGAACTGAAATACTGAATTCGTGAATTTGGGAAAACTGATTTTTTTTTTTTTTTTTTTTTTTTTTTTTTAAAATTAACTTAAAATTTTTTTTTGGGCCTGGTGAGTCACTTGACCCACCAGGTCTAAGCCCAAGTCCGCCACTGTGAATACCATAATTAAGTTATTAACATTACGTTGATGTCCTATGTTGATTGAATCTAATTAATTAATCTACAATATCTCATGCAGTTTTTATGGGAGCCTGGTTTTGGTTTTACCATTTCTGTTTTCTTGTCCTTTTTATTTTCTCATTCTTATTAATCAAATGGATGCATGCACACCTACTCACCTCGACAATGTGACAAGAAGTTGCGTTCGTTTTTTTCCAATAATACAATCGGTCATTCTCTGAACTACTCTTTAATAGGTATTGCCGCATTGTTTAAAGTCATGCACGCACTATTATTACTCCTTATCTCAGCTTCTTCTTGCTGGATAAAATGACATAGATGTAATTATGTTGTGTAAAATATTATGATCAATGAGAAAGATGGTATAAAAAGCACGCCATACATTATTGTAAGTAATTTTTTGTTGGTTTGTATCGTTGTATTACGACTTGAATTACTTGAATTGTATGGTAGAGTAGTAAAGGAAATATTCAAGGTCGTCAAAGTCAATAAATTAGATATAGTAATAAATAAAAGTTTAATTTTGAGCAAGGAAAAATAATTTAAGCTAAAGAGGATTGGGGCTACCAAGAGAATGTAAAGGCAAAAGTTAAAGGTGGACGAATTTCACAATTCACACACATTGCTGAAGCTAATGTGATGTTATACGTCGATTGAAAGCAAAGTTTTAAGGATAAAAAGTGATGATGAGCAAATTCCAATAATAAATACTCCAACAGTAATATAAATGGACGTATCCACAAAAACATGTGGTATAAAAGGCCATTGGAAGAATAAAATTGACTCTAAAAGTTACTTGCACCTTAAAGCTCCTCTTTTCATCTTGACTTTTATAACTCTAGCCATTTTACAGCTCCATTCTCAAAGTTACTGTATTATGTTACTCATGTAGCCATTTAATTTATAAATAAATACAAAATGTATGCTGTAATACCGTACTAGTAGACTCGTAGTAATAATAGTAGACTAGTAGTAACAACAACAATAATAATCCGCAATTACAAAATAATTAATTTCATTTTGTTTTTAAAGCCAAGAGTGTATAATGTTCTATATGATCAACAAATTTTTAAACGCTTATCTTCAATTTAGTTTAACTTACTTTACATATTAGGTATGTAGCAGTACATACATACATCTGGTAATGTATTTATCTTTCTAATATGAAAAAAATTAAGGGGTTAAGTTGCTAAAATCATCTTAAGCATTTTTATCAACGTACATACAAATATAGTCCATATAGGTAGTTGAATATATATAGTGTGAAAACCTAAAATTGGTACTCATTTCTTCAAAATCAAAAATGAAAATCAAAATTGGTGAGCAAGCATTAAATAAAATGCCAAAAAAGAATGCAATATCATTATCAGTTGATTTATGCCATTTACATAACAAGTCCTGTATACATCGTTAGGGCAGTGGCATTGATTTTTTCGTGGTCCCTAATGTAATACTCTACTAGTATAAGCCTAATTTATGCCACATGCACAGTTTTCAGGTAAAATAAGAATATGACTACTACTTTGCCCTACCATCTATATTCATACATACGAACTACATCATGCCTTCTACTCACATTTCTTATGCTTTTTATTTTTTTATGGACCTTCTTCAATCCGTGCATGTTTGTTAGGTTTATAAATATTTATTTAAAGGAATAATATTGTACCCCAATTTTTAAGCAATTTCAGGTGAAACTTTCCAATGATTCTAACATGTGTTACTCGTACATTTGGCACGTGGCAAGGAACTGACCCTAACTCACACAAATGAAGATTGAAAAAATAAAATACAAATTTTTGAAAGGGTAAACTCTCACAACGCTATTATAGTCAAATTTATAACTTACTTCGTATTATTGAAAAAAAAAATCATCAACATCACCAATTTTTGATTGATGAACAGATAAATAATAATGGCCAGCCAAAATTGTGCTAATAATTAAATCTATTATCCTTGTCATTGACTAGTGTTTAGAAATTAGAAGACATATCAGTAGATAGTATAGACCAGTACATTTTTTAAGTTTGATGTCAAGCTAACAATTACTCCGTATCAAATGTATGTTAAACAAGTTCCAATAATTTTTGTTTGATAAACATAAAACTTAAAAGGTTTTGCTAGGGTTCACTGATCACACACCAAATTGAAATCACTCATGTCATCGTGACGGGTTAGAGATTGGAGGACACCTAGAAGGCAATGAAGCCATACCTAGTTGTAAGGGAAGAAAGAAACAAGCAAGAGGGGGATGGAATGTGGACCCGGAGACGCTTGTATGTCGGTGATGGGTGTGTCTCTCGAAAACTTCGCCGGCGTTAAAAGGAGTACGCGGCACCTAAAAGTGTAATCCTAAGATTTTAATTAATTAATTAATGATTGCGATCATCCTAATTTAGGATTCAATAATCAGACTAAACATTCCAATGTTTATTAAATGCGTGTTACTATTATCGGGCAGATAAATAACCCAACCACTCCTCTGACTCTTTTGCAGCTCCTTCTTTACTTTGATTCCTTGCTGTTTATTTTTATTTTATTTTTTTTTATTTTATTTTATTTTATCTTTTTAAATAAAATATAAATAAATTAGGGTGACATTATATTTTATCACTGTACAATTCCCCATTCTTTTATGGTCTTTGATATTAATGTCTTCCACCTTTCATTTACTACAACACTCTCTCTGCTCTGTATACTTGTACTATGCCATTTTTTAATTTCTAGGTTAAAACAATCTGCCTTTTTTTTTATTTTTTTATTTTTTTTTTATTTTATCTCCTCTCCTAACAACTTCAAGTTTTCTGTATGTGGTAAATTTCAAAGAGTTTGCGTCATGATTGGTGGTTTGTGGTGTTACTAACGGTCAAATTAAAAGATTGCACAGGAAAATTATACTTGATAGTATATGATTTACACATCTCTTTAACTAAGTCTTACCATATACTTCCTCCGTTTTTATTTAGTTGACGCGTGCAATTTAGGCACATATATTAAGAAGAGCAGAGAGAGTAAGAGAGAATGATAAAGCAAGTGGGGTACCTTGTAAATGCAAAGTAAAATAACATGTCTTATGTGTGGTTGGCCACATCGTATGACCTCTTATAAAAGAACAAAGTAATCTCTATAAAATTGACCAAGTAACCCCTGTAAAACTGACCAAGTAGCCCCATTAACACTAACGAAGTAACCCCATTAACACTGACCAAATAACTCCTATTACACTAACGAAGTAACCCCTATAATGACCGGCCACACCCTGTGGTTAGCCACATATAAGAATTTGTGCAAAGTAAAAACTTACCTAAAAAGGAAATGTGTCAACTAAAAAAAGACTTTTAAACAAGGATACGTGTCAACTAAAAAAAATTGAGGTGAATATGTAGTAAAAATTTAACAAAACAACCCGTGACGTAAACAAAATGAACTACTATAATAAGGACTAGTCACCGTCTCTCTCTATCTTCAATGTTGGATAACTATTTCAATATAGAATTAATTAGTACACTTAAGTTAAAATTCCTTGAATTGTTTTCGAAATGTTGGTATTCCGATCCTAATCTGATATATATGTAGTTTAATAAACCCAAGTCAAAGAGTGAACAAGCACTTGTAAATTATAGAAGTATAAGGTCAATTAGACAAAAGTGATGTAGGAATTTCATAAAAGGTGGAATAATTAGATGTCCAAGTCTAAGAGAAAATTCAACTGGTAATAACAGTAGTATAGGTCCATTGACCATGGCAGTAAAAGCGAAGTATAAACTCCTTAGTCCTTGAGCAAGTAAATGAAAATTTACAGTGGTAAGTACGAAGAACTTAGAAGTAGGCTTTTAAAAATTTGTTGGAATCATTAATTAGGGGGTCAATCACGTGGACTTGAATACAGCTTACGGCATGAATGAATGAGATAAAAAGAAAGTGACACTGAATCACAAGTTACGCCATTCTACTACCTCCCCTGTAGCTATTTCAATTCTCTAGGTCTTTCTTTGTTTTTAATTTTTTTTATATGTATACGTACTGTATTTATCTTTTAGTCTATTATGCAAATTACTCCTGTTAGGATTTTTATTTTAATGACACCAATCATGTATTATATACACAACACACAAACTATAAACCCCTCCAAAACTTAAGGAAATACTTTGTATGGTTATCTTATTCTATAACATGGAGTCGTTATAAGTAGATTAGTCGATTCAATTACAAAATTTTACTTGACGAATAAGTGTATCAGGATTAGTTGTCTAGTTGTACAAGTATTGAAACCCTCCTAGCCAAAGATTTTGAATGGGTTAGCCTTTTTCAACCATAGGTAAGTTAACGAGTTTTTAAAGAGTTTAATTAACCACATATATTTCTAGTAGTAAGGTTTTAACCTAAAACAATGGGTGATAGATTGAATTGTCCACCAACCTTGTATATTACGGAGTAGAATCTGTAGATATTCTATCAAACAGGCTCAACTTGCAAGTGAAATAATACTTTTACAGCATAAGTTGACTTAAAATGCACTCTTTAGAAACCTATCAGTCACTTGGAAAACAAACCTTTCACCCAATTAATTTTCATACTTTAAATATAAACCATGAACATATATTATATTGAGAAGTTTTAATTCTATTTCTAAAAAAATGCGACGAATTACTTTTATTCCGTTATATTTTTACTAACAGACAACTATAGATATTTTAGTCAAAGTAAACAGTGACAAATGCACATAGTTAAATGGAAAGAATACTTATTATATATGATGGGAAGAAGTAATTTGTAGATGAATGAATGAAATACGTGGTGCATAAGATGAGACGAAAGAGAAAGCATGAGTTCCCTGTGAAATTGAAGGAGGTGGTGATAGCCAGAGTGGTGGTGTTGGGGGGACCCATAATCCTCACCTCATACTATCTGCCCAGCTTCAACTGTCCTCGTCTCTTTTGTCTTTTTCTTCAACCCTTAGTTATTTTTTTTTTTTCAAAACAATTTCAATATTCTTTTGCTTTTATTTTAATAAATAATAATAAAATAAAAGTAAAGGGGAGAAGTTTCTCTCTCATGAGGCCGGTGTTATTATAACCACCCCCCTCACAATCCGCTTCCTTCCTCATTCTCATTCTCATCTCTTTCTTTCTTTCATTCTTCTTCTCTCTCCTCCCCCCTTCAAGTAAGCCGTTTTTCTTGGGGGTACTCATCAGATCACTCATCACCCTATAAATCCAATTTCAT